AAGCACTCCTTAACAAACTTTCCCTGGATTGGGAAAACTTAACTAAGAACCGGGCACTTGCTAATCACCCTTTCCTGGGCAAGGTCCTGGAGCAGATGGTCACAAAACAGATCCAGATGCTTTTCTTTCTTTTTTTTTTTAATTAATATTTATTAAAGTTTCAGAAAAAATAAAATCACATTAATAAACAAGAGAAATTTGAAAAGAAAAAAAGAAAAATACACAATAGAAAATACAAAATACAGAAAACTAAAAAGAGGGGGGGAAAAAACAGTTAAAAACAATTCCGTCTTTTCGTAACTTCTTTTACATTTACCTGTTTCCCGGACTTCCTCATACCTCCCTCTTTTGTATTCCAATTCCGGTTGTTAATCCAGCAATTCCTTTCCCTCCTTTTTAATCCCAATCCTTAATCTTAATATATTATGACATTAGATTTTTACCTGTTTAAAACCAATTTTTCCACTCTTTTAACCTTTTTAATCCTAATCCTTAATCTTAATACATTTATAGCTTTAAAACCTATACAGCTAGAAGCCACTTAACTTCAATCCAACATCACTCTAACATTCATTAATTTTGCAATGTTTCTGTAAATAATCTTTGAATTTCTTCCAATCTTCTTCCACCGACTCGTCTCCCTGGTCACGGATTCTGCCAGTCATTTCCGCCAATTCCATGTAGTCCATCATTTTCATCTGCCATTCCTCCAGTGTGGGTAGCTCTTGTGTCTTCCAATACTTTGCGATAAGTATTCTTGCTGCTGTTGTTGCATACATAAAGAAAGTTCTATCCCTTTTTAACACCGATTGGCCGACTATGCCCAGGAGAAAGGCCTCTGGTTTCTTCAAGAAGGTATATTTAAATACCTTTTTTAGTTCATTATATATCATCTCCCAGAAAGCCTTAATCTTTGGGCACGTCCACCAAAGGTGAAAAAATGTACCTTCAGTTTCTTTACATTTCCAACATTTATTATCAGGCAAATGGTAGATTTTTGCAAGCTTGACTGGGGTTATGTACCACCTGTATATCATTTTCATAATATTCTCTCTTAGGGCATTACATGCCGTAAACTTCATACCTGTGGTCCATAACTGTTCCCAGTCAGCGAACATAATGTTATGTCCAACATCTTGTGCCCATTTAATCATAGCAGATTTCACCGTTTCACCCTGAGTATTCCATTTCAGCAGCAAGTTATACATTCTTGACAAATTCTTGGTTTTGGATTCTAACAGTTCTGTTTCTAATTTTGATTTTTCCACCTGGAAGCCAATTTTCTTATCCAAATTGTATGCCTCCATTATCTGATAATAATGAAGCCAGTCTCGCACTTTGTTTTTTAATTTTTGAAAACTCTGCAATTTCAATCTGTCTCCATCTCGTTCCAAAATTTCCCAATATTTTGGCCATTTGACCTCCATATTGAGCTTTTTCAAGGCTTTCGCTTCCATTGGTGACAGCCACCTTGGAGTTTTGTTTTCCAGTAAATCCTTGTATCTTCACCCCTTTTTTCCTGTCTATGCATTATTTCCCTACACTGTGCCCACCCCCTCCAGGAATGTTCTCTCTCTCTCTCTCTGCTAAATTGATTCCCCCTCCCCCATATTTGAGTGAAACAGACCCATAGGTCATAGAATAAACATGTCCCCCATATCGGTCTCTAGAAGAAGAAGAAGAAGAGTTTGGATTTCATATCCTGCTTTATCACTACCCGAAGGAGTCTCAAAGCGGCTCACATTCTCCTTTCCCTTCCTCCCCCACAACAAACACTCTGTGAGGTGAGTGGGGCTGAGAGACTTCAGAGAAGTGTGACTGGCCCAAGGTCACCCAGCAGCTGCATGGGGAGGAGCGGAGACGCGAACCCGGTTCCCCAGATTACAAGTCTGCCGCTCTTAACCACTACACCACACTGGTCTCTACAGCCATAGAAGGCGCTGCAACTCTCCCAACATCTTGACGTCAGCCCCAAAGGCACACTCCTCCATGGTCTCCCGAGACAGACGGATGCCAACATCATCATGGATTCCTGCATTGCAGCGGGTTGGACTAGATGACCCACAGGAGCCCTTCCACTCTATGATTCTATTCACAATATTTTCTTCACCCACAGTCCTCAGAGGCAGCAATGCTTCTGAATACCAGTTGCAGGAGAGGAGAGCACTCTTCTGCTCGGATCCTGCCCTCTGGTTCCCTCTGGTTGGCCACTGTGAGAACAGGATTCTGCCCTAGAAGGGCCATTGACCTGATCAAGCAGCTCTCCTTAATGTTTTTAATAAAATAAAAATAGTATCTGAATACAGTCAACCTCGGCTTCTGACCACCTCCGTTTTGGAATATTTCGGCTCCCGAACGCCAAAATGTCAGTGTTTTCAAGAAGCAGCCATTCTTTCAACCAGCAGAAAGCTGCTGATTGATAGTAAAGTTTAAGGTCTGGCAGGGCAAATCCACCTCTATCCTTTGCATCTGTTAGTATTTTAAATTTTATTCTGGGCTTCTTGCCCTGCCAGACAAATCTAGAAATATCTCTCTGCCACCTCTTGAAACAGTCCATTTTGTCCACAATTTGCAATGTTTGAAACAAAAACAACATTCTAGGCAATACATTCATTTTTACAGCAGCAATACGACCCAGCAGTGAAAGCTTCAAATTTGACCAAATTTCTAAGTCTTTTTTCACTTCAGCCCAACATTTTTCATAGTTATCTTTAAATAAATTCCCATTTTTTGCTGTCATGTTAATCCCCAGATATTTAACTTTCTTAACCACTGTTAAACCTGTCACATTCTGAAACCTCTCTCTCTCCATTGGTGTTAGATTTTTCTCTAAAACCTTAGTTTTTAACTTGTTCAATTTAAATCCTGCAACCTGACCAAATTCTTGAATCAGTTCTAAAACTCTTTTAGTACTAGATTCTGGCTCCTGTAACGTCAATACTAGATCATCTGCAAATGCTCTCAATTTGTACTGTTTAGCTCCGACCTGTATACCTTTAACCAACTGGTCCCTTCTAAGCATGTTCAGCAAAACCTCCAGGACCGAAATAAAAAGTAGAGGGGAAATTGGGCATCCTTGTCGTGTCCCTTTTTCTATCTTAAGTTCTTCCGTCACCACATTATTTACAATTAATTTAGCCTTTTGTTCTGAATAAATTGCACTTATACCGTTTTCAAAGCCTTGGCCTACCCCCATACCCTGTAGGTTCTTCTTCATAAAACTCCAAGAAATGTTGTCAAAAGCTTTCTCCGCGTCCACAAATATCAAAACTGCTTTAGTGTTTATATTCACTTCTAGTTTCTCCAAGATATCAATTATATTCCTCAAATTGTCAGACAAGTGTCTTCCCGGGAGGAAGCCCGCTTGATCTTTATGAATCTCTTCCATCAACACTTTTTAAAATCTCTTAGCCAAAATGTCTGCAAAAATTTTGTAATCCACATTAAGTAATGATATGGGGCGGTAGTTCTTAAGCTGTGTCTTTTCAGTCTCTGTTTTCAGTACAAGTGTAATATAGGCTTCTTTCCACGACTCTGGTGCCCTTTCCCCCTCCATTATTTCATTGCAGACCTCTTTCAAGGGTTGTACAAGCCAATCTTTCAAAGATCTATAATATCTAGAGGTCAATCCAATTGCATGTTTTGAATGGCACCTTCTATCTCCTGTTCAGTTATTTTATAATTCAACATTAATTTATTTTCTTGGGAGATTTTTTGTAATCCATTTGTTTTCAGAAATTGATCTAGATCAGTTTCTTTCAGTGGCCCTTGTGTATATAGTTGTTTGAAGTACCTCTGGAAACAATTTCTAATCTCAGCTGGGTTCTGTATATTCCTTCCTTCCACTTCTAAGTTCGTAACTGTATTTAATTTTTGTCTTTTTTTCATTTGCCAAGCCAACAGTTTCCCACATTTGTTAGCCGACTCGAATGTCTTTTGTCTCATTTGTTTGATTTTCCATTCTATTTCCTGATTCGTCATTTTCATATATTGTACTTGGTATAGCTTTAATTCTCTCAGAATCTCTTGAGATTTTGGATTTGTTCTCAATCTTTTTTCACTTTCCTTTATTTTCTCCAGTATTTTATCCTTCTTCTCATTTTGAATTCTCTTCTTTACTGCATTCTGTTGTATCAGAAACCCTCTCATAACCGCTTTACTTGCGTCCCAGATTACTCTTTTTCCACATTGGTATTCATATTTATCTCAAAATAGTCTCTCAAGGTTTTTTGGGCCTTCTTTAACACTTCTTCATCTCTAAATAAGGTGTCATTCATCCTCCATCTGAAGGAGCCAGTTGGTGTTAGTTTCATTTCCATCTTGACAGCATTATGGTCGGAGCAAGTTTTCGGGCAGATTTCCACCTTTCTTGTCTTTGGTGCCATTCCTCTAGTTACCCATATTTGGTCAATTCTTGTCCATGTCATTTTGGCTTCAGAAAGAAGGTTCCCTCTTTAGCCATGGGGTTCCTTGTTCTCCAGATATCAACTAAGTCCAAGTTGTCTGTCATCTCAAAAAAGGTTTTCGGTAGTCTACCATCCTTAGTGACTACCTGTCTTTGTGCCTTGTCCATATGTGTAGATACCACTCCATTCATGTCTCCCATCAAAATCATGTTATAATCCAAATAGTCCATCAAAGTCTCATGCAACTTCCTACAGATCCAGGTGCTTTTCATAGAATCGTAGAATCATAGAGTTGGAAGAGACCACAAGGGCCATCGAGTCCAACCCCCTGCCAAGCAGGAGACACCATCAGAGCACTCCTGACATATGGTTGTCAAGCCTCTGCTTAAAGACCTCCAAAGAAGGAGACTCCACCACACTCCTTGGCAGCAAATTCCACTGTCGAACAGCTCTTACTGTCAGGAAGTTCTTCCTAATGTTTAGGTGGAATCTTCTTTCTTGTAGTTTGGATCCATTGCTCCGTGTCCGCTTCTCTGGAGCAGCAGAAAACAAGCTTTCTCCCTCCTCTATGTGACATCCTTTTATATATTTGAACATGGCTATCATATCACCCCTTAACCTCCTCTTCTCCAGGCTAAACATGCCCAGCTCCCTTAGCCGTTCCTCATAGGGCATCGTTTCCAGGCCTTTGACCATTTTGGTTGCCCTCCTCTGGACACGTTCCAGTTTGTCAGTGTCCTTCTTGAACTGTGGTGCCCAGAACTGGACACAGTACTCCAGGTGAGGTCTGACCAG